GGTCCTGGATGCCTGGGCTAAGATGCTAGGCTTGAGGCGCACTCCAGTGTACTCTCTCTCTCTCTGTCTCTCTCTCTCTCTCTCTCTCCAAATTGGCTTTCAAAGTGGCACGACGAAGTCCACACAAGGAGCCCCATTGAGCCGTCCAAACTATCATTCACGCATGCGATCCCCGCCAGCGGCGGTGGTCGGTGCCTGGGCCTGCGCTCTTCCCCACTTTGGCCTGCGGCGCTTGTTGGGCTCGAAGCTGGATTCGTGCTTGATGCAGGCCATGTCTCTGGACTTAGTCTGATTAACTCCAAAAAACAAGGCACGAAATGAATTGCCACATTTCCGCTAACGCTGCTCATCGCGGGAACATGAGGGAACTCACGAAACCCACGAAGCCCTGTGGCATCATATGGTCCTGAGTCCTATGCGCTAGAGAGATCATCGCGGGGCCGTGCCTTGGGTTGCGTCGCTTTGGCGACAGGCGCCGCAGGCACAGGCGATGCTGCGAAGGGCCGTCGAAATTATGTACGCTTCATGTTGCAGTCTGTACATTTACCTATGGACCCGAAAATCTCGCTGAAGGTGCTTGCACAGGGAGGCAATGACAAAGAGGTTTCGCATCGAATGAGCGGTGACGAGAGCCACAGGGCTTCACTGTACTAGCGGGCAGTGCGCCGAATGACTGGCAAGACTTTGGGAACGAGTTGTGGCCAAAGCAGCAGCACTACTGTACCTGGCTTAGTGTGGAGTGTTGCGGTCGAGCGCCTGGCATGGATGCCTCGTGCTACATGCTCGCCAGGCAGCACTGAGAGTTTCCGGGCTATTTGGGGCTCACAGTTTCACCTCAAGACAGCCTGAGGATGTTCAAGCCCATTACCTTGAGTGAACTTCGAGGATTGCTGTGATTGCAATGCTTGGAAGCTTTGGGAACACATGCGACTAGAAGGATCCGCATCGTCGCTTCTGGTTGTTCCTGCAGTTTTGGGACGGGCCACCGCTTGCAGAGACCTGGCAGGGAGTTTTTGAGAATCTGGGCCGTACCCTTCAAAAGAGTTAACATTGAAAACAGGGATGTTCGTCAGAGGATGCATGGCGAGATCGCCATGGATGTACAGGCATTGGAAACTGGAGCTCACCTCGAGCACGGGACGCTTTGGGGATTTGAGCGCCTCGAGGAGCTTCAGTGCCAGGGCTGCCAGGGCTGCCAGGGCCTGGCTGCGACGCTTCGTTTGAAGCTTCGACCTATCCAGGGCCTATAGGGCAGTTTTTGACCGGAGCATGGCTCGCTGAGAGCCGATCTCGCGCTACTCTTGGCCTCCACGGCCCTCAGGAGAGCTCAGGATGTCACAGGTTCAGCTGTGGCAGAAACTCTCCAGGGCCGCAGCTCTTTGCTGTCTTTTTCCTTGCCTTGGTAGACTCGCAAGGATGTCAAATTGCAGCATCTGAGGGGGGACGCCCAAAACATACCCATGTATCATGTATCTGCTTGTGCGGACAAACACCACATACAACCCGCACATGCCTTGCCGTTCTGCTCCAAAATTCTAGAAGGTCTTGGATCCAGCACTTGCCCAGCATGTTTCTGTCAAGTGCCGCCCACGTGACAACCACAATCTGCCGACCACACTCGAGCCCACAAGTCGGAGCACACAGCGGTCGTGAAGCGCTGCGAGCCGCTTCCGTTCTTCCCGGAACCAGAGCATTGGCAAGATGCATCAGGAATTTCCACCGAAGCCCTATCAATAGATAGCTGATGCCCTACGGCAAGTTCAGCCAGCACTGTCAAGCTCACGCCATCCACTACTGAGTCACTGCTGTACCTCGCTGCTGGGATTCGCCGAAGCTGATTGACAATGCGGGGCGTGCGTCTGAAAACTATCTGCCTCTCGCAACCAGGCCGACGCCACAGTCTGCAGGAAAACCACGGAAAACCCATGATTCATGTCTTGCGCATCATCTTCTCTGTGTGTTTTTTACATGGACTGCTCCCCTTCGAGGGCGGTGCTCTTGGTTTTCTTTCCGGAGCCTTTGCCAGGCTGCCAGCCTGACGGCACTGACTGACACTGTTGTTGACTCTTCTGAGCCACCAACTTGTGATTCTGAGGGCGGGGTTTGCTTTTTGTCAAGAGCTTGCTGATATTGAGAAGAAGCAACCATTGCCCAAACGGAGGGATGCAAGGCTAGCACAAGAATAACAGCTTGCAATGATATTGGCTCGAGCAGCTTCCCACAAGAAGCTTGTGCACCATCCCGTGATGATGGTTTCAAAAAGCAATGTTCTGGAACGGCTCCCTCCTAATTTTGCGACCCAATTCAAGCCTCCCTTGAAGGGCATCATCGGATTCCACACCGTGCAACTCTGCGCGCCCAGCCCTGAGTCGTCCTGCCCGGATGCAGGGCAGCTGATTGGAGAACAGACATTCAATGTGGTGGCATGTTTGTTTTGTGATTCTTGAGAGCAGCTCCTGGTTGTGGTTGCGGCAGCAGAAGCAGTAGCAGCAGCAGTAGCAGTAGCAGTAGCAGTTAGTAGCAGGAGCAGTAGCAGCTAGTAGCAGCTAGTAGCAGTAGCAGTAGTAGCAGTAGTAGCAGTAGTAGCAGTAGTAGCAGTAGTAGTAGTAGTAGTAGTAGCAGCAGTAGCAGGAGTAGTAGTAGTAGTAGTAGCAGCAGTAGTAGTAGTAGTAATCGTAGCAGCAGGAGTAATAATCGTAGTAGTAGGAGTAATAACCATAGTAGTAGGTGGTGGTGGTGGTGGTGGTGGTGGTGGTGGTGGTGGTACTAGTAGTAGTCTTGCCGTAGCCGTAGCTGTAGCAATAGCAGTCGCAGTAGCAGCAGTAGTAGTAATCGTACTAATAATAGTAGTAGTCGTCTGTTACCTACTAGCCAAGAGTGCCTTCAGTGATCCAGGTCTCCTCGGTCTATATTTACACATAACAATTATATGTTTTATACATCGTTGTCTATATATCATACACGGCATCTTATATACATATGTATATATATATATGTAGATATATATATATATATCTATTTATATGCATATTCATTAAATAACTATAATATCCTATATATAACATAAGTAATATTGTATATATGTATATTATTTACAACATATGATGTAACAAACATTTCCAGTCTTTTAAAACTTGGAAACGTCTGAAAAAATCTGAAAACCCTGTAATGTTCCGAATATCTGGAAAGTCTTGTTTGAAAGCATTGACCGACTGGGCTGAGCTGTCTCTGCTGGGCTACACCGGGCTTGGCCAGACATTTCAGATATTTCAGACTTTTCAGATTATCCAAACATTTCACGTTAAATGCTTGAAAAAATCCAAATGGTTAAAACCTGAAAATCGGAGATGCTTGAACGTATTGACCGTCTTGGCTGTCTTGCTTGGGCTACGCGGGGCTGGGCCAGACGCTCTTAGATATTTCAGATTGTCCAGACCTTTCAGATCTTTTGAATCATTGAATTGTCTGAAATATCTGAATTTTTTGAAATGTTGCAGACATCTGGAAAATCTGAAATGATTGAAAGTATTGACCACCTGAGATGTCTTGGCTGTGCTGGACTGGGCTCAGCCAGACATTTCCAATGGTTAAACCATTGGAAATGCTTGAAATATGTGAATATTTCACGTGATTGGAATATCTGGCGTTCTTTGTGCAATGCAAATAATCAAGACATGACCTTTACCACAAAAGGGCCTGTTACCTACTAGTACTACTAGTACTACTAGTACTACTAGTACTACTAGTACTACTACTACTACTACTACTACTACTAGTACTACTAGTACTACTACTAGACTACTAGTACTACTAGTACTACTAGCACTACTAGACTACTAGTACTACTAGACTACTAGTACTACTAGTACTACTACTAGTACTAGTACTATTGGTGGTGGGACAGAGACAAGCGGAGCAGGACGAGACCAAAAGGATGAGAGTGGAAAAATGAGAAGCAGAACAGTGGGCAAGCAGAAAAGCAGAGGAGCGGAATAGCGAATCAGAAAAAACACAGAAAAGCGAGAACAGCAGCGAAGCAGCAACAGCGGAAAAGCAGAGAAGCAGAAAAGCAACAACAAAAACCACCAGAAAGCAACAAGCAAACGAAAGCAGAAGGCACAACGGGTCAACAAAGCTCAAGCACAGAAAACCACAAAAACAATAATTAACAAGTTCCCAAAAGACAACGAACAACATAAACACAAAACAATAGGGCTCCATTCAAAGTCCCAGTCCTCGTAGACTTGGAACTGAACCATGACTCCTGGGAGGAGGTCCCGAGAACCAACCTCAGCAGGCATAGTCTCGTGGCTTCGTTCGTGCGTAAAGTCGGGGCTCAGTCTGTAGTTCGAAGATTCGCAGAGGGCCCTTTCTGCCTTTTCTACTCCCCGCACAATCTCATGACAGCTTGGTGAGGCCAGTTGAAAACTTGTCAAACAACGCCTCGGACGGTGGGACTTGAGAAAAACATCCTCGAGGCACCACCGCCGGTCACCAAGTTGACTGCACGTCGCACTCTGGCTGACGTGTTAAGTCCCAAGGCACCCAAGTGTGCATTCTCGCCCCAGGAGCTAGAAGGAGCGATTCTGAGAACTGCGGCTTGCTTCATGGATGCTCAAGTTTGCTCCACGAAATGGAAAGATGCAGCCACAATGATCTTAAGTGCAGACCTTTGTGAGGAGCTTTGAACTTGGGTTCAGGTCCTGATTCATAAGTTCAACATTTGATGCAGCTGCCGTTGAATGCAACATGGGCCAAACCCCGTCTTAGAACCAAGGTGTCCATGCGTGCCTGCTGTTTACGCAAAAGCGTTTAAACTGACGGCGAGTTCTGCGTACCGCAAGCACCATTCGCTTCGGTTTGTGAGTCGGTCCTTGCATGGATGTAGTTGCTGTCGAGCCACACAGCGCGACACATGGACCCCTGCTCCGCAAAGCACGTTAAACTGGTTAAACTCTTTGAACCCCGTTGTAATCTTTGCGCCGGGTCTTTGCCATGGCTCAGAGTTTTCTGGCCCGCAAGGACGTTGACGCAATCCTGACTGGGCACTGAAGTTCACAGCGACAAGCGAGGTGCTACACGCTGAATCAACTTCTCACTTCGCCAGGTAGGTCTCTTCTGAGAGGCGCGAGCCAGCCGTGTCAGTGCCCAAATCAAACAGCCTTGCTTCAGCTCGCAGGGGGGACACATGCTTTACACCATGTGCGAGTTCATCCAGCCGTTGCTGATTTTTGCCCGAGCTTGGCTTTGCAAGTGCTCTCAACTAGGTACAAGTAGCCATGTCTCACACAGCCCCGTTGAGATCCACCGGTCGAGAGGCCTGCATGCAGTATGGAGGCCACGCTGAAGAAGCTCTGGAAGCACTCGCTTCCCACGCATCCAGTGTTCGGTACCGCAGCCCAGTTGAAGACAGTGAAAGTCACCTGCGTTTTTGGATGGAATATTCTGAGAAGGATGCAGTCAAAACGACTAGGACCGAACAAGGCAAAACCGAATTGAACAGTACGGGGTTGAGATGATTCCCGGAGCAAATCGTCAAGACATAGACGCGCGCTATTTCTGTGGAGCTTAAGACGAAAAAGGTAGGGATCTAATTCAAGCTTGTCGACAGATTCTGCAGAAGAACCTGCTAACATCGCAGCACCTCTCCCAGGAGCGACCTGCATGCTAGCATATGCACTTGAATACTCAAAAAACACCCAAAGAACCTTGCAATCAAAGCGACCGCCAAGAGTTGGTAAAGCAGCCCGAAGCTGGTTCCCAAATCCTGTGAGGAGCATTGCGCGGCTGGAGCCAAGCAAAATTCTTCTAACCTTCGGGTGCAAGACGCTGTCAGACTTCCTGTTGAGGTCTACAGAGAGTGCGCGACGTGTCGAGCTGAATCCATCGCACACCCACAGCTCCCCACAAGCAATTTGCCTGAACAGGAAAGCCCGCTCGAAGTGCCACCGGTGCCAAACACAGGAGGCCACCGTAGCCCAAGCACTGGAGCCTAGGGAGTCGGAGTTTGGCACAACATCCCCAGTCCACTACACCTCCGCACACCTGCACGGCCTTTGGGCAAACCAGATTTGGATTTTCATACAGGCCCCTTGCTCCCTTGTGCTTTGACCTCTATGCCGAGGCACAGAACGTCGAATCTACGTCTTGTGTGCGCAAAACCCCCTGCAAGCTTGGAGGCTGCATGGCCAGCTCGAAGAAGGACCGTTGATCATCTCGGCTTTGCAACAAGCACAGTGCTTCACAAGAAGGCCTGGTCGTAGACTTCCAAAGCGACATTTGTGAATCCTGCGCTGACCCCTGCAATTCTAAAGCCCTGGGCTTGGATTCGAAGAAGTTCAAAGGGGCACAGGTGTAGAGAGCGCCAGACCTATTGACTTATATGGCAATGTGAAGCACGGTCGCAACGGCCCAGCTCTCGGAGCCGCTTGGGAACAGAACCCTCAGGCCTGAGGCCCTGAGCAACGTTGTCGGGAGTCGGTTCCCGGACAGCGGACCAACACAACCTACACTGCAACTCTGCTGTCAGGACTCGTTCCAGCAGCAAGAATGCCAGCTGGAACAAACCTGAGGCTCGAAACAGTTGCTACGATAACTGGTCGTGTTTGAAGATGGAACCTACAGCCACCATCACAACGTGCAACAAGCAGCTACTGTCCCGATCAGTATTAACCGAGGAGCCAATGCTACCAACGAAGCCGAGCTCGAGTCCGATGCGCCCTCCAGACCAAGTCGACAAGAGCAAATACCAGCAGAAGCTCAATGAGGACTACCAGTTACTACCAGCAAACGCGACAGCCTCTGCAATCAGAAGGAGGCATCAAACAATTGACTCCAGCATCAATCAATTTGGTTTCCCCATCGAAGACCGAGACACTTAACGCGTGGAGGTGGATTTCCAAGGCCCTACCGAGTTCGACATGGACAAAAGGCACCAAGACATACTGAGACATCAAAACGATTTAACCGTCTTCCTCTTCAGATTGCGGCACTCTGGCACTGCTACAAAAAGAGAACACTCCTGCGTGATCAAATGCTGCACATGCCGTCAATTACGTTTATCAGTACACTTCCGAACCTGCCAAATGCACCTTTTCCTTCTCCAATCAGTAGTCATGTGGCCTGACACCTGTTGTCATGCGCTGCACAATTTGGTTCTAGTTTTGGTGCTTAGCAGGATTGAGTCCTACGCCTCTGGCAAACCCAAGACACAAAGACTGGTGACTGCAGAACGGGGTTGCAATCCTCGCCCCCCGGGAGCCCAATCGCCAACGAGGCCGAACAAAATTCCTCAGTGTTGCGCAAGCTGTCTTTGGAAATGGCTGCCCAAAAGCAGCACGCTCAGGGGCCAAGAATCGTCCAGCCGCAGAGAAAAGACCCAAACCAAGGCCGATGCGCGTTCGATCCTGCAGGGAGCTTTCCGGCATGAGATTCGGCTCTCTAGAAACGCTTGAAAGAGCATTACTAGACAAACTGGCCAAGCGAAGTGGAGCATATCAGTAGAGTACACGCACAGCTGTTTGTTCAGACTTTCTAGCCATGTACATATTCGGCACCATGTAGCTACCCTTTTCGGTGTTTCCTGCTTCTCATGTCTCGTGGTGATTAAACTGAAAGTGCTTGGGGTTGTTTGTTCGGTGTGCAAATAGTGACGTGCTGTCCAGTATAACATACAGTATCCAGGTCCAAAGCAGTCTGGGCTGGTACCGCATCTCTCGTCCAGCAGATCTTTGGTCAGCGTTTCTGCGTCCTTGACACTCTCCATCTCTGGAAAAGGCCGGCCGGCAGTATCGTACTGAAACGTACGTACTTTCCTTGCAGCTCTGTCGAGCCAGGCCGCCTTGCTGCAGGTTCCAAACTGGAGTGGTGCGCACAACCTTTTGAAGGAAGCCGCGGATGTCAAAGGACACTGTGGAGTCCTCATGCCCCTACCTAAGATCCAAGAAGTACCTCATTCTCCGAGACAGCAATCTTCGCAAAAAGCAACTGGGACAGGCTGGCAACGACATGCAACAACTCTCTCGCCTTCCAACTCAACTCTCTCAGTACTGTCTAGACATCCGCCAGACGCATGATTTTGATCCGATCGTTGCAGCTCGGCTTCACACTTGGGATCTCGTGCACACAATCCTCAATCTTTTTTGTCCAGAACCTGCTCTGGCCGAGTAATGCTCTTAAAAAAACAAGTTTCCGTCGGACTTGTTATGTTTGCCATCGGGAGACGACAAGTTCTGCCCAAGCAGTAGCATGTCCCGTGATCGTGCTTTGTGGTCGTCGCTGTGACTATTCAAATTCTTGAGGTTCCAAAGTCATTCTTTTGGGGCAGGGGGCTGGACCTGCCGGCACAGCTAGAAGAAGCAACGCACTTACACCATTTTTGTGAACCGGCCTCTCGATGTGATGTGCGCCGGACTCTTGACATTACCAGTGCCTGGTATTGCTACATATGAATGCGGCTCCTGTCAGAGATATGTGGTGACCTATGCATGAGTTTAACCAGTTCGTGCTGCCTTGCGCCGAACTCACAATACGTGAACTGGCGCCAACCTTACACAACCTCCTTGATCAGCTGCAGTATTGATCGGTGCTCTGAATAACCGCGGTCCATGTTGCTCGAGTGTAACGGAGATTCCTTGTTCGCGGGCAGGTTTGTGTGGTGTGTATTGCACGCTCACCACAGATACAATACCACGGTGGAACACAACGCATCGCACGGAAAGCCACTGGGTCTTTTGTTTATGTCTGCGAAGTTTTCCGTCTTTACATTACCATAGAACAGGACACAGTTTGTCTGCCCCCTTCAAGTCGATTGAATGTACATTTAAGGCTTGGCGGTTTTTGGCGTTACGATACTTGTGTTGCTGTTGGACGGTGGAACAGGTGTGGGGGGTCGTGGTTGTCGTAGAAGCAGTCGTCGTCGTCGGCCGTGGTAGTTATACTCCTCGTTTTCGTCCTAGTGGCAGTATAATCCCCGTCTTAATGGTGGGTGGGGTAGGTGGGGTAAGGGGTAGCCAGGGTTGGCATGCAGGCAGGGAGGTAGGTAGCAGCGGGTAGGTGGCAGATAGGTAGGCGGCACAAAACGTGTAGGCAGATAGTGAGCAGCTGGTAGGTTGTAGGCAACATGTAGCGGCCAGGTAGGCCGGGTAGTAGTGGTAGTGCTGGTGGCAGTGGTAGTAGTAGTGATAATAATTCGGTGGTGGTGGTCGTGGTCGCGGTCAAGGTAGAGGTAGGTGTAGTGGTAGGAGTCGTAGGGCTGGTGGCAACGGCAGCCATAGTAGTAGTAGTAGTAGT